TTAAAGCTTAAATAAGGTGCCCTAAAGTTTTTGGACAACCTGTATTCTTCATGTTCATTGTTTCTTTATAGTACAGTAATATTTCATTATATTCATGTACCACAATTGGTGAGCATGCTCTTTGTTTCTCTTTCTTTGCTACTACCAAAAACATACTGCTGTAAATATTTTAAGTTCCTTTTCATTAGTTCTCTCTGCCTCTTGGAAGCAGGATGATGGGTAAAAGCAACATAAGCTCTAACCTGCTTAGATTGAATAGAAACAAAGTGGTTTCTGACTTCAGTGCAAACTGTTCATATAAAACAAGGGCAGTCATGAGAGAATCTCCATAGACACTATTAGAATTTGAATAAGCATAATAATCTACTTTATTTTGTATTTAGAACAAAGTCAATATTGACCTTAGTGTTTAATCAACAATGTTTATCTTAAGTCATGGAAGGACTAGAAGAAAACCATAGACACGCAAAATGGCGATTATGGCAACAAAATCATTAAAAGGCATGCAGAAAATAAAGCCCAGGTTCTTTGGCTGAATGATATTTTCTAGTGAAAAATTCAAGCTTCTACAGTTACACCCCTGGAGTACTCAATTAGGTCACGTTAGGTTCAGTGATTAAATCTAAACAAATGACTCTAGATCTATATCCATAGGTTTGATGTATTCCTTTCTCATATTCCCAGCAGGACATTTCTACTTGATTTTTTTTTTAAACATTTATTTATTTATTTTTAGTTTACACCATTCACTTCCATAAGATTTTGAGTTCCAAATTTTCTCCTCATCTCTCCTCTTCCCTGCCCCAAGATGGTGTGCAATCTGATATAGGCTCTACATGTACATTCATATTGAACCTATTTTCACATTAGTCATGTTATAAAGAAGAATCAGAATCAATGGGAGAAACCACAAGAAAGAAGAAACGAACAAAAAAAAAAAAAGAAAAAAAGAGAGAGTGCAAATAATATGTTTTGATCTGCATTCAGACTCCACATTGCTTTTTCTAGATGTGGACAGCACTTTCCATCATGAGGCCCTTGGAGTTGTCTTGGATCCCTGCATTGCTAAGAAGAGATGAGTCTATCAACATTAGTCATTGCACATTGTGGCTGTTACTGTGTACAGTTGTTCTCCTAGTTCTGCTCACTTCACTCAGCATTGGTTCATATAAGTCTTTCCAGGTTTTTCTGAAGTCTGCCTGCTATCTACTTGAATTAAAAAAAAATTATAAAAAAGCGTTATAGACTTATTTCAACAAAAAAGTCAGTCAGATATAAAAATAGGTACGCTTCCACTATAAACCTTAGCCTTTAACAAGGCAGAACTGACCATATTTTTAAAATGCTCTAAATCAGTGGTATCCAACTTAAAAGAAAAAAAAAACTTGCTAGACACATATTGACTTAAACAAAATTTCACAAATTAACCTGGAAAGCTTTATATGAGCTGATGCAAAGTGAAGTGAACAGAATCAGGAGAACATTGTACACAGTAACAACAATATTGTATGATGAACAACTGTGAAAGACTTAGCTACTCAGATCCATACAGTGATGCACAGCAGTTCCAAAGGACTCATTTTGAAAAATGCTCTCCACCTCCAGAGAGAGAACTGAAGTCTGAGTGCAAATTGAAGCATGTTTTTAAAACATTTTCTTTTTTTCCCCTTTTCTTTCTTTCTTTCTTTTTTTTTTTTTTTGGCAGCATGGGTAATATGGAAAATATATTTTACATGTCTTCACATGTACAATGGGTATCATATTGCTAGCCTTCTCAGTGGGTCGGAAAGGGAGTGAAGGGAGAGAGAATTTAGAACTCAGAATCTTAAAATGAATGTTGAAAAAGAAAAAAGAAAACCACACATTAACATGATGTTCTGTCTTATTTTTATAAATTTTATTAAACATTTCCTAATTACATTTTATCCCAGTTCAAGTCCCACTCCAGAGTTTTCTAGCTTGTGGGCCACAAGTTTGCTATTTTGGTTCTAAATCACAAATCCCTGAAGAGAAACGTAAATTCTTTTCTCAACTTAATGGTATTTTATTTTTTCCAATTACATGTAAAGATAGTTTTCAGCATTCGTTTTTATAAGATTTTGAGTTCCAAAATTTTTTCCCTCCCTCCCTTTCCCCTTCCCCAAGACAGCAAGCAATTTGATATAGGTTACACATGTTAATCATGTATAATCATGTTAAACATATTTCTACATTAGTCATGTTGTGAAAGAAGAATCAAAACAAAAGGGAAACACCACAAGAAAGAAAAAATAAAAAGAACAAAAAACGTGAAAATAGTATGTTTCGCTGTGCATTCAGACTCCATAGTTCTTTATCTCGATGTGGATAGCATTTTCTATTATGAATCTTTTGGAATTGTCTTGCTGAGAGTAGTTGTATTTGTCATTGTATTGCTGAGAGTAGCTAAGTCATTCACAGTTGATCATTGTTCAGTATTGCTTTTACTGCATACAATGTTCTTCTGGTTCTGCTCACTTCATTTTGCTTTAGTTCATGTAAGTCTTTTCAGGTTTTTCTGAAATCATCCTGCTCATCATTTCTTATAGCAGAATAATATTCCATCACAATCATATACCACAACTTGCTCAGCCATTCCCCAGTTGATGGGTATTCCCTCAATTTCCAGTTCTTTGCCACCACAAAAAAAAGCTGCTATAAATATTTTTGTGCAAATGAGCCCTTTCCCCTCGCTCTCTTTTTTTTTGATCTCTTTGATATACAGATCTAGTAGTGATATTGCTGGATCAGAGGGTGTACACAGTTTTATAGCCCTTTGGGCATAGTTCCAAATTGCTCTCCAGAATGGCTGGATCAGTTCACAACTCTACCAACAGTGCATTAGTATGTCAATTTTCACACATCCCTTCCAATATTTATCATTTTCCTTTTCTGTTACATTAGCCAGCCTGATAGGTGTGAGGTAGTTGTTTTTACTTGCATTTCTCTAATTAATAGTAATTTAGAGCATTTTTTCATATGGCTTTAGATTAGCTTTTATTTCTTCTGAAAACTGCCTCTTCATATCTTTTGACCATTTGTCAATTGGGATGACTTGTATTCTTATAAATTTGATTCAGTTCTCTATGTATTTGAGAAATGAGGCCTTTATCAGAGATACTAGCTGTAAGAAAAATTTTCCCCCAGTTTTCTGCTTTCTTTCTAATCTTGGTTGTATTGGTTTTGTTTGTGCAAAACCTTTTAAATTTAATATAATCAAAATTATACATTTTATGTCTTGTAATACTCTATATCTCTTGTTTGGTCCTAAATTCTTACCTTCTCCATACAACTGACAGGTAAACTATTCCTTGCTCTCCTAGTTTGTTTGTCTCACCCTTTATGTCTATATCAAGTACTCATTTTGACCTTATCTTGGTATACCTTATAAGATGTTGGTCTATACTTAGTTTCTGCCAAATTGTTTTCCAGTTTTCCCAGCAGTTTTTATCAATAGTGAGTTCTTCTCCCAAAAGCTTACATCTTTGGGTTTATCAAACACTAGATTACTGTGGTTATTTACTACTGTGTATTCTGTACCTAATCTATTCTACTTATTCACCACTCTATTTCTTAACCAGTACTAGATTGTTTTGGTTATTACTCCTTTATAGTATAGTTTGAGATCTGGTGTGGCTAGGCTACCTTCCTTCAAGTTCTTTTTTCATTAATTCCTTTGATATTCTTGTGTGTTTAAATTTTAAGTTTTGTATTTTATACTAGGGGTCTAAATCCAGCTAACATATTTAGTTGCTAATAATTCAGTTAAAGTATGGATGTGTCTAAAGAACTATGGTTGACACATTTCCTAATTTATAATTAATCACTTTTCTAATTCTATGGCTATTAGAACCCTTAAGTGCATAGTATTTCATTTTTAATTCTTATTGATATCTTTTTTTTTTTTTTTTTTTTTTTTTGGTGAGGCAATGGGGCTTAAGTGACTTGCCCAGAGTCACACAGCTAGTGAGTGTTATGTGTCTGAGGCTGGATTTGAACTCAAGTCCTCCTGACTCCAGGGCTGGGGCTCTATCTACTGCACCACCCCGCTGTCCCCAACATCTTTTGTTTTAATATTACCTTCATTCCCCAGTATAGCCTCTACCCACTAGACAGCTATCCTTTATAACAAAGAATAATAACAAAACTAACCATCACATCAGCCATATTCATTGTTAAATAGAGAATGCCATAGCCATAGTCTCCTACCTATTCAAAGGGAGGGAGGTTCATTCTTGTATTTCATCTTTGGAACCAAGCTTGATCATTATAATTTTACAGCACTCAGAATACATTATTTCAGTTAGGATACATTATTTAATCTCATGTGCATATACACATGATTTGGAAGAGGTACATCAATGTGTCAAAGACTAGAACTCCAGGGATAGGAAGCTGGGTTGGCAGTCCAAACCTGAGACTTCTTTAATGAATGGTAGGTGACTCCAAGCCTGAATATTCCTGTGCAGAGTTCTCTGCAGTTGTGTTAGGAACTCTCTGTAACCCAGTTTAGAATTTTCAATGTCTAATTGTCTCAGAAGAGGAGTGGGATATTAGGTTAGGGTTGAGTATAATTCATTAGCAGTGTTACAAAATGATGATTGAGGTAATGTTAAATAAGCTATATCTGTTAACATTGCAGACTTGAGGCTTTATAACATACCTCAGAGATTCTGGAGTACTGTTATTAATAGTGACCTATTGGAGAGAAATTATATAGAGGGAAAAAAATTTTCAATTTCTTTTCTCAAAATGAGTGCAAAAGTATGGGATCAGACATCTGAGAGTGAATATGATGAATCAGTTTGGTATTCCTAAGTATCCTGTTGGTAAAACGAATCTTTTTACATTTATTCTTTGCAAATTAAATTGGTTATTAATTATGTAAAGTTGATTCTTTTTTTGAATGGTCAAGTGAAGTTTTCTTAACATCTTTTGAGGAGAACCTCACAGTGAAAACATTTCTTTTTTCTTTTAAATAGTCATCTCAGCGAAACTTAAAGAAAATAAAAAGAACTGGTTTGGACCAAGTCCTTATGTGGAAGTCTCAGTAGATGGCCAGTCAAAGAAGACAGAAAAATGCAGCAATACCAACAGTCCCAAGTGGAAGCAGCCTCTTACTGTGTAGGTTTGCAGATATTTTGTTGTGTGTAATTGTTTAGCAGGTAATATAAAGTATAATCCTAAATGCCTGTAAGCATAAATGTAGCCTTTTTTCTTACTTCCTCTTTGTCTTTTCACTTTTCCCCTCCTCTTCCTTTCCTTCCTCTTCTTTTCTTCTTATATTTCTTTATCCCTTTTTTCATTCTTCTCTCTTGGCTCCTCTTTCTTTTTCCATCTTTAGCCTTTTTTCTCCTTGTCTCCCATCTTGTATTCTTCTTTTTCTCTGTTTTTCCACAGTCTTTCCCTTTCTTCTCTTTGCATGTTTTAGTTGGGATTGGTTACAACAACAATTAGTCATTGTCACCATTGGGCAACATCTCTGGGATTGGAAGAACCTGAGTATATTAAAAGTATACATGACATTGTAGGACAGATTCTCACCTTCTCCTCTTGATCTTGGTTAGAGTAGGGAGATAGCCTGGTAGGAAGCCATCTTTGTGCTGCTCTTAGCATGTGCACATCAAGGGAGCTCTCACTGGACTTCATTTCTGTAATGATAAGATACCACATCTTTAATTGAACAGATTATGGCTCATTTATAGCTTCCGTGAAAATGTCTAACCTACTGCTAATTTCTTTAGAGTTTATTAATTTGGGGAAAAAACTTAAATCTTTGGTTATTTTTGCCACAGTTTCTCATCTTAGATGGTACTCTAGAAGTTTAATTGCAGCTAGATGAAAGTTAATAAATTTTGTTTTCTTTATACAATGACCTGTCAGTATAGCACTCCAGTGTAGAATTCCTCATATAATTAGTCTATCTCAGACCTTGGGCGAAGGGTTTGAAAAGTACCAAGCCATCATGTTGCAAGGAGGTTGTACATTAATAAACAGCCCTACCTTGTAGTCTCTCTGTGATCATAGGACTAGATCACCATTTTGCACAAACTTCACAAACTACACAAAGGCACATGACTTGGTCAAAGTTATACTGTAATTGAGAAGCTGAGCCATGACTTGCTCCACATCTTTTGACTCCAAGTCCATTGTTGTTTCCAGAATGCCATACTCCTTCTTAAGCACTGAATTGAGATTTAGGTGGAATTTTCTACTTTTTTATAATGGGAACTATACATAACAAAGAAAGAAAACACAGCCTGTGGTGGCTGGATCTAAGTAGGTGCAGGTGTGAGGGAGAACTTAATTCATCCTTTTGATGAAACATAGCTGTTCTGTAGTTTAGGTAAAATATTTCAAGGGCTTAGCTCATAAGTTCTTGTATTTTTTAGACACAGTAAAGCAAGTGACTGAGTTCTTTACATTCTTTCCATGTGCGGAAATTATACTAAATTGCTTTGGAGTAATTTGGAGATGATCCTCTGTGGTAAAATATATTTTCTAAATGGAGGTAGGATACATTAGATAAGAAAAAGTATATTTGTCTGATTATTGTTTTCTTTAGTGTGATTCTCCAGATTATCATGAGAATTCTACTTTGTATACATAAGAAATGCTTGTGGAAATAAGTTAAGAAAGTGAAGAGAAGCAGGATGGCTTAGTAGATAGAGAAATCTCCTTATAGTCAGAATGACTTGGGTCCAGATTTCTCCCTCCAGCACCTGCTGGGTATGTGACCCTGAGCACATTACCCAGTGGCCTAAGCAACTCTAAAGACTATTATGCCTTGTTGAATAATTGCTAATATACTTGTGTGAGAGAATGATCTCACCAGTAGCACCCTACAGATATGAAAGCTTAGGGCTGGACAAAAAAAAAGAAAATAAGGGATATGAAGTAAAAAATTATTTTTTGCGCATGTTTTGTCTTTGAATTTGAAGAAAACACAGTAGGAATGGCCACAGTTAGCCTTCGAAGATTTTGTGAAAAAGAGGTGGGAAGAAAGTGTAGTTTGAACAGACTTTTCAGAACTTGCTTTTGCTTTTTCCTTTACTCTCTTGTACATGATTGTGCTCTCCCCCAGTGTTTTCAAGAGTTGAATAGTGAACAGTATGAGGGAGGAGAATTGCTGTGCTTTCTTGTTCACTTTCAATGTCACTTACAGTTCCTGGTGCATATTCCACATATAGTGAGCGTTGTTCACTGACAGCAGCCTTTCAGAATATGGTACTTTCTTCAAAGGCATAGTGAAATTGTGAACATGTTGTAGCAGTTTCTTTCAGGGAAAATCAGGGTGGTAATTGATTCACCAGTGAAATTAGCCATAAAGGCATGTAGAGTTTTTTAGATATAGTCTAAGTCCTTATAATGCAAGCTGTATTATTAGAGTTGTGTTTTACTGTAGATATAAATGATAATTTCCTTCTTCTAGGTCATAGTGTGGTGTTTAGTGAAGATCGCATTTTTCCTTCAATGTTTTTCTCCTTTTAGAATTGTCACACCTGTCAGCAAATTAAATTTTCGTGTATGGAGTCACCAGACATTAAAATCCGATGTTTTGCTGGGAAGTGCTGCTCTAGATATTCATGAAACGTTAAAGTCAAATAATATGAAACGTATGTATGTAAATGAAAGTGTATTTAACTTATATGTACTTTGTCATAGCCTATATGGAATTGTACCAGACATACAAAACAACTTGTAATTGTAACAAGCACGTTAGTGTTTACTTGGATGTAGTTTTAACAAAAGAAAAATCTTAAGAAATTTAACACATCTTAAGGAAACTTTAAAGCTCTCGATCCAAAACAAATATGCAAATGATTACTCAAAAGTAATAATAATCATAAGAAGGTCTCTTGTATTCCCTGACTAAAACATTTCTAGAATCTTCCTTCCCCATTGTATCTGGTAAGATACTGTGAGACACACTTAAGTCCTGTGTAAATCTATAGTCTCATTTTCTCTTTTAATTAAATTAATCTGATTTATCGTGGTAAAAGATCTTGAGTTTCATGCTTGCTCACATTATTTTGTATCACTGACAAGTATGGAGAAAATTTAAAAATAGATTAAATGGTGACTTTTAAAATAGGCTATAAAAATAAAAACATTTGAAAACAAATTTCGAACTTTTGCTATTCCTGGTCAAGGAGTTTATAGCTTTTAGTCATTTATGCTTATTTTGCATTCAATTTTTTAAGGTATAGATGTCAGTGTAGATAAGTAGCCAGGCTTTTATTCCATATATGATACATGTTTTGATGTTCAAAGAGGACTAGAACCACTTATCTAAGTAAATTAATATAGTTTACATGTATCCAATTGATAGATGTAATCTTATACTTTTTTTATTATATGACAGTCTTTCAGTAAGATGTTTGAAAGATAAAAAAGACCTCTCTTTTCTATAGTTGATGAAGTAATTGTGACATTACAACTTGTGGGTGACAAGGAGCCAACGGAAATCATAGGAGACTTGTCAGTTTGCCTTGATGGACTGCAAGTAGATCCCGAAATTCTGACGAATGGCTATGCGACATGTTCAGAAGGTAACTCGTATGTAATAATGTAGTCACTATTGGTCACTCTTCTCCCAGCAAAGGGTAAATAATACCTTTCAACTCCTGTCATTTTGTCACGATAACACAAATATTTAATTTTTTTGTAACAGGTTGAAATTACTTTTCATATTCTCCCTTCTTTCTTGTGGATAGTTTCTTTGTATTATGAACTGATTGAATTTAGGCAATTTGGCTCAACATTGTTTCTTTTGGTTCTAGTTTTGTTTGTAGCTTATTGTCTGTCTTACTTTAATTATCCTTATTGCTTTCCCAATCTCCAGATATGTTTGTAGTTTGAGGCACTTAGTTTTATAAGTACCATGTGATGGCATTTAAGATTTTACTTACTTTTTAGCATTACGTTAACAGACAAAACCCTGTAATTTGACTCTAAAATTGCCATATTTCTTAAACAAGTAGGACTTTTGAATCAGTTTCTGTCCAGACCTCATTAATTTGTATTTTAGAATATTACTTCTTAAGGGTTCTTTAGGCTAATACCTAATTAATTAAGAATTTATTTATTCTTACCACCTAGGATTAGGTAATGGATTCTCCCATCATTGGAGTTGTTCAGACAGAGGTTGTATGATCACTTGTGAAGAATGTTGTAGAAGAGTTTTCTATTTCAGATAGGGGTTGGACTAGGGCTAGGTGATCTGTAAGATCCCAATAAGATTCAGTAATCCCCATAAGCGTTTATGATTCTCTGGTTTTCTCAGCCTTTAGTGCACTTTCATGTTTGTCTTTTTTATTACCAATAATAGAAATATAATTATTAAAAGCCTTTAATGTGTCATTACTTTATGTAAAATGGTCTGCTCGTAGCTAATGCAGATTATGATGATGTAAATGTCATGATTATTTCTAAGTGGCTGTTTCAGTGTTATGTTAACTTCTTGCATTAAGTGCCTACATAGTAGCTGTCTCAATAATGTATGTTACCTGTGGATTCTCTTAAGGTTTTTCCTTTTACTTCCTTATTATTAAATATTTTCCCTAAAATAGAGAGTTTAAAGGTCCTAAGCCCCACATAATAGAACTTATTAATGGTCTCTATGACCAAAATTACTTTGCATACCCAGGAGTAACAATCACTAACAATTTTGTAGTTGTCAATATTGTTATGTCATGACTTTATGTCATCCATTTCAGTTGCACTGAAGCCTTTTTTATTTTTGGTTCTCAGCTGTTTAAGTTTAAGTGACCTCCAAATATACAAAGTATTACCATATTCAAAATTCATGAGCAGCTACTACATGCTCACACTTTGATATGTACTATTGGGATATAAAAGGATAATGGACTAGGTTTAAGTTAAAACCAGAAGAAACATGTTTTATAGAAGGTACATAGAAGATTTTAATTCTGTAGCCCACATAAATACAGTGTATCTCTTAAATGCAATAGAAAAAACATTTTTGTTACATATAAATTATAAGACTAGTTCTATTCTATGTGATTGATAAATTAAGTAAATTAACCCTCAATTTAAATTAAATTATTAAATTTGATTTAACCTTAAACTCTTGATGAAGTATTAAAATGTTTTTTATCAGGAAGATTAAGTGTACATTTAAGTTATACAGTCTTAAATGTAAAAAGTTTTTGAAAGCAAGACTCTAATCTCATTGGGTTTTGTTTGTTTGTTTTTGCTGATGATAAAGGTAGTTCACAGAGTGATGATTCCAGAACCAGGAATGATACAAGGTAAGATATATCACATGAGCATATGAGTGATTACTATTGGATTGCAGAACTAAATGAAGGAAAGTTAATATGGAAGCATTACAGAAAATTTTTAAGTCAGGCCTACACTGGAGCAAATGAGTTGAGTGGTAAAGAATAAAAAGGGGGGAATTTCACATGAATGCAGATATACTCTGAAAGACTTATGACTTAGCCTTCTGTGGTTGTAAGGTGTTAGAGTATGCTCAGATATCTGTTCAAAAATTAATTAGTTGTTGATACCAAGTACAGAGAAGTAAATAAAGCAATCATTGTGTCCTAAGATTACTAAGAAAGAGAAATGGAAATACTTTCTGTGACATTTGAAAAGTGCTATTTGTGATGAATTGAAACTTAAAACTATGAGAATACGAGTGTAGTCAGATCAAAGAGAGTTATCAATTCTTGGCATTGACTTACAAAGTTATATATATTTGTACCAGTTAATTGTTACTAGAAGAGGTATAACTGCATCAAATGGACCTTATGCTGTAAGATTTAGATGCTAATAGTATCAAAGTTTTTGCTTCATTTAGTAAGCTAATTTCCAGTGGCTGTTAGGTATACTAGGTTCCATGGGGGTAGCAGAATAAGGAAAGGTCATGATTTTGCCTTTGGGGTTGGGGAGGTTGTCATCTAGAAGGGGAAAAATAAAATCGAACTGACAGTAAAGCAGTGTCAAAGGTGATTTTTAGATTCCAGTGCTTCTCTTTATTTTTCCACATCTTGTCAAGCTATAAGTTAATGTCTTCTGTTTCCTGTGAGTTTTGTAAAGCAAACTGGGATTTGGAGGGTACATATTTAACAGATATTATGATCCCTAGCTCTAATTGCCTCAAGGGCTTCTTGCAGTAGTTGAATAGTATTGATGTTTTATCTAGGGAGCTCCTTCATGTTAATTTGAGACATTTGTTGAGATCTTATTTAGAAATTTCAAAGTACTATTGCAACTTCCAAAACATTTCAACTTATGTATAACAAGAATGTCACCTTTAGGCAACCTTCAGCAATGTTGAGATTTTGTGCAAGTAGGTTGCTTAGATGTTGTCAGTAGTCTCATGTGTATAGTCCTATCTAGACCCTGATGGCCAAAAGATTTTTAATTTTTATTTTATTGTAGTATGAAATAGCAACTTCAGACTATACTCAGTGTGGGAAGGTTAAAAAGGATTAGGTGTAATATATTTTAGTTTCCTCATGGAAAATACAGAATTTTGATATTGTTTTATCTTGCTAAATCTGTTGGTGACCAATTCTCCTTATACAGAGTGAAGTCATTGTTGTATAGTACTACTGGTCTAGGAGAATATGGCTGGACAATACTGATTGGAGTAGTCATCAGGAATTCTTAAATGGATTTGATGTTTTTGGAGGAGTAGAGAAATAGTATCATCAAAAAAGAATTAAAATATTTTTTATTCTAAACTTAAGCACCAAAAAAAGAGCATTTCCATAAATGCAGCAGGATATTAAAAAATGTTTTATATGAGGTTATAAATTTCTATTTTTATACTGCTTTTTAAAAAAGCATATAATAAATTCTTTGTTACTTCCAAACTTTATACCTTTTATTTGTTTTTTTCTGTTTTCTTCTGTGTATTTTAAAAATGTTTCATTGGCACCCTCTTTGGGCATCGCTATTGCCAACTGTCTTTCTAAACTTCCTAAGAAGGTATTAGGAGAAAAAAGGGGTGGGGGGAAACTCTGTAATAAATAAGCATAGTGAAATAAAATCCACAGTGGCCATGTCCAAAAATATGTCTTCTTTTGCATGTCTGCATGTCTGTCAGGAAGAAGATAACATGCTTCATCATAGGTCTTCTGGAAATAGAGTTGATAATTACATTGGTCAGAGAGTTCTTAAATATTTCAGTCCCCATCCCCTCCCCGCCCCGGTTGTCCTTGTATAAATTGTTTTCCAGGTTGTGCTTATTTCACTCTATGTTAGTTCATACTACCCAGGATTCTCTGAAGTTCTCTTTTGTCATTTCTTATGTTACAGCATTTGATTATCATGTACCACATAGTTTTTTCAACTTTTTTCCCAATTGAAGGTTTTACGCTCCCTTAGATTCTAGTTCTTTTCTTTTCTCTTTTCTCTTTTAATACTCCTTTTAGCATTAAGGCATTTGTTTTGCTTATACCTTATTCCCTTCTAAGTAATATCCTTCCTCTTAATCCTCGGTTTCTTACTCCTGATTGTCTTTTAGTTCAGTTTGATGTATTTTTACACCAAATGTTGTGTGTATATCTATGTATGTTTTCAACCCTTTATGTCTGTTTTAGATAAGAGTAAGGTTCATCTAATACCTATTCCCTTCCATGTTTATAAACAGGATTCTTCCACTCGTTCCAATTATAGGAACATCAAGTTCCACTTCTTTCTTCCTCCTTTCTGCACTAAAGCATTCCTCTTTTTACCTTCTCTTTCCTGTCTTAAAACCCCCAGAAAGGAACCAATGAACCTCTCAGGAGAGTTCAGATTTTCTCAATATCCTTTGGAAACATTATGGTTCTTCAGGAACATTTGTTTCTTCTCCCCTTCTTACAATGTTAACACTGTATCATTATACAGCCCCTTCCAACTACTCAAATACATTTGCCTTTCTAGGTTTCTTTTGTCTGAAATGCTTGAAATTTCTCTATTCCTTTTTTCCTACTTTTTTTCCCTGTAGGATACAATATGAATATTGAATATACAATATGTACTGAGCTTTTCAGGGTAAGTTATTCTTGATTGTAAGCTTCTATCTTTTTGCCTTTTGAAATGCGTATTTCAATATCTTCTTTGGTTTTTACTAGAAACTTTCAGGTCTTGTGTGATTCTGACTGTGGATCCGTGGTACTTCAACTGGTTATTTTGGATGCTTACAGCATTTTTTTTCTTTGATGTGGGAACTCTGGATTTTGGTTATGGGAACTTTCTTTTGGGAATTCTTTCAGGAGGTGATTAGTGGCTTTTTTTTTAATATTAAAAATATTTTTGATTATCAATAATTTTTTCTCTCTCCAATATTCCCCTGGCAAATGGAAAGGAAAAGAAAAAAGAAAACCCTTGCAATACATGCATGTAGTTAAGTAAAACATCTTCCCATGTTGGCCACGTCCAAAAATATGTATCTTATTTTGCGTATTTCATCTATCACCTCCTCCTCAGGAGGGTGGGATGGCATGCCTTATCACTGGTTCTCTGGAATCATGGTTGATCATTGCATTTATCAGAATTCTTAAGTCTTTGAAAATTGTTCCTTTGTTGAAGTGTTGTTGTTAATATTATAAATTATTTTCCTGGTTCTACTTATTTCACTCTGTGTTTATACCAATTTTCCCATGTTTCTCTAAAATGGTCTCTTTTTTCATTACATACAGCCATCAGTATTATATTACATTCAGAAACCATAATTTGTTCATCCATTTCCCACTTCATGGTACCCCCTTAAGCTTATAGTTCTTTTCCACTATACAAAAGAGATGTTATAAATGTTTTTGTATGTATATGTTCTCTTCCTCTTGCTATGACCTCTTTGAGGTTTGGGCCTACTAGTTATATCACTATGTCAGAGGGTGTGCATAGTTTAGTAGCTTTATGGGCACAGCTCTAACTTGCTTTCCAGAATGGCTGAATTCACAGCTCCAACAGTGCGTTATTGTGTCTTTTTTCCTGTCGTCTCTCCAGCATTTATCATTTTCCATTTTTGTCTTTTCCTATCTGATGGCTATAAGGTAGAACCTCAACATTGCTTTAATTTGCATTTCTCTGTTGTTGTTAATTTGAAGCATTTTTTTCAATATGGCCTGGATTTCTTCGAACTTCCCCTATTTATCAATTGGAAATAATCATTAGATTCTTTATATCTTCATGTCTTCGCTTTGCCTTGTTGTTCTAATAGCTCCGATCAGTTTTCTTTTGTGATTTCTTGAAATCGTGTTCAGGCTTTTTATTTTGAAATCACATTTTTGAAGGGTTTCAGGGATGCCTAGATTATTTCTTGTTGAACTGATTTCCGTGGCAGGTTTTTTTGTTTTTTGTTTTCTTTTTTTGGTATCAGATACATCCTACATTTTCTTCTCTTTTTCAGTCTTTTGGTTTTGTTTTAATATTTTTTGCTGTGTGGTGAAGTAATTGATTTTAGTTTGGCCATCCTGGTGTTCAGGGAATCCATTTCTTGGTTAAGTTTTGTCACCTTCTCTTCTTAGTATTTATTCTCCTTCTAATTCTTCCACTAGAGGTTTTGTTATCTATTGCTTCATTCCTTTTAGGGTTGGTGTTGTCCTTGTGGCAAATCCATTTTTTTCTTTTGGACCTCTGCTTGCTGTTCTTATGGAGTTAGTTTCTAACTAACTTTTGTTAATGGCTCTCTAGATCTAAAGTAATTTTTTGATATTGTGATTGGTGTTTTCCTTGATTTGTTCATCTTTCCAGCCTAATTCCTTACCCAGGGGTTTTGGCCAGGGCCAGGTTCTGTTCTCTGTTGTACTGTTAAATGCAGCGGTAGGTTGGGCCTCCCTTGTTCTTACTATCGGTTTTTGGTCTGATCTCTGTTTCTTGGTGGTAGGCCTCCCTGGATCTTCATGCCCTCTCTGGTATCTCAGGATCTCAGAAACCTTGGATCCAAAGGTGTCTTGGTCTGAGTGATGAAGTACTACCTCTACTCAGGGCTTCCAAGGTTCCTTCCCTAAGGCTTTCTGACCATCATGTCACTTTCTGAAAAGAGCTCTTTGCTACCTCCAGACCCAGAGCTTTGCAGGATAATTTGTGGTCATGTCTCTGTCTTATCTCAAGTTAGTCTTGGAGGCTACCCTGCAGTCTTAATGGCTTTGCTGATGACTCCCTTTCCTATTACCCTCAGGCTTCTTTTGTTCAGTTCTGGGGTAGAAAAAGTCACTTCCTGTGGTTTCTCATTGGCTTTCTTTATCATTTGGTCTGGTCAGGTTTCATAGTTGTGCTGTAGTAGGTATGTGGGAGAGGGAGGTCTACCTCC